TAACTTCACCGTTTTTTTTTTTTTTTTTTTTTTTAAGATGGGGGTCTCACCGTGTTGGTGAGGCTGGTCTTGAACTCCTGACCTCAGGTGATCCACCCGTCTTGGCCTCCAAAGTGCTTGGATTACAGGCGTGAGCCACCTTGCCTGGCCGAAACCCCATCTTAAAAAAAAGAAAAAAAAGTTAAGCGGTATAATTATTCAGTATTATGAATACTGAAACATTTCATGTTACATAGATCCATGAATTATTCTGGAGGGAGAATGAGATTTCTACAACACATGGGATGGACAAAGCACCTTCACTTGCTTGTTTGCTAATCCACTGCAATATTTCCCCATTCATGTGAGCTTAGTAGATTTGGAGATATTACCTAAATTCATATGAGCTTAGTGGATTTAGAGGTATTACCTGACTTTACTAAATGAACCCCATGTTTTCTTTGGTACTCTGTTACTTAGCCTTTCTCAGTAATGTAAACAACTTTCTGTATGTTGGTGGCACAACTGGAAATGAACGAACGAAGGGCAGCAGGTTTTGCTTAGATGAATGTTAAATTCAGTTTATCAGTGAATTCCAAAATTGGAAGGGCCCCTGAGATAATCTATTTTACTTTAGTTATGACATGTTTGAGACTTGGTAGGTCTATGTGTTTTCATCCAAGAATATCAATGGGAGAACTGTTACCATTCTAATGGTCCATTACATTGTCCACAAATTCCCTTCTCTACCCCTCCATGTCAAGCGTAGATACTTTCTACAACTGAAAACCCCCCATGTCCGAAACTGCTCATTTAAAACCCTTCCTGGCAGGGTGCAGTGGCTCATGCCTGTAATCCCAAAACGTTGGCAGGCGGATCACCGGAGGTCAGGAGTTCAACACCAGCCTGGCCAACATGGCAAAACGCCATCTCTACTAAAAGTACAAAATTAGTCAGGAGTGGTAGTGGGCGCCTGTAATCCCAGCTGCTCAGGAGGCTGAAGCAGGAAAAGCCCGAACCCGGGCAGCGGAAGTTGCAGTGAGCCGAGATCTCACTACTGCACCCCAGCCTGGCCGACTCTGTCACAAAGCAAAACAAAACAAACAAACAAACCAAAAACCCTAAAGCCTTGAAACTGAAAGGAAAAGGGTCCAGTGTAAATAATCTTTTCTTTCTTTTTTTTTTTAATTTTTAGAGACGGGGCTTCACCATATAGGCCAGGCTGATTTTCAATTCCTGACCTCAGGTGATCCACCCGCCTTGGCCTTCCAAAGTGTTGGGATTACAGGCGTTGAGCCACCATGCCCGGCAATAATCTTTTCCTATTGCATCCCAATCACTTCTTTATTCAGTAGGCTTCAAACACTTTTTTTTTGGTTTGTTTTTGAGACAGAGTCTCGCTCTGTCGCCCAGGCTGGAGTGCAGTGACGCAATCTCCGCTCACTGCAGCCTCCACCTCCCGGGTTTAAGTGATTCTCGTGCCTCAGTCTCCCAAGTAACTAATATTACAGGCGTGTGCCACCATACCTAATTTCCGTATTTCTAGTAGAGACAGGGTTTCACTGTGTTGTCCAGGCTGATCTTGGAACTCCTGACCTCAAGTGATCTGCCCGCCTAGGCTTCCCAAGGTGCTGGAATTACAGGCGTGAGCCACCGTGCCCGGCCTTCACGCTAATCGCTACCATAATGATGGTGGGTTTGAGGGTGAACATTATCTGCAGACACAGGCTTAACAAGCCCATCCTAATAAAAAAAACTGTAAGGCTAATGACACTTGGTATCGTGTAAGACTGCCCGAATTTTACAACTCGGGGTACCTAGGAAACCAGAAAAGCCCTCACCAAAAGGAAAACCAGTGGGGACAACTGGGGAGCACAGATAATCTGACTTGGATCATTTTGTCCGCGCGTCTTTGGGGTGAAAACTCAGGACTCGGAGACCAGAAGGGACACGCAGACCGCCTCTCCCCAATCCCAGGAGTGTCCCATTCCAGTCCGGAAACCAAAACTTTGTTCCCTTCCCACCTGTACCCAGCGACGCCTCTGCTGGAAGACAGCGCTTGCCACTGCCGAGGCTGGCGCGACCCGCTTTCACTCCGTCCAGGGCGGAGGGGATTGCAGGACACAGCAGTGCACGTCCAACTCTGTCCCCCCCCCGGAGAAGTCTGCGGTCCTGGGATAGGAGGAGTTGTGACTTCGGGGACCAGGGGCACTGGACTCAGACACAGGCCCTCTGGACGTCAGAGCCCAGGGAAAGCGTCCCAAAAGCCGGAAGTGCGTCATACCCGCTTTCCGGGGCTGCGCTCCGCTTCGGGGTCCTCTCTAGGATCGCGGGAGGACTTTGTATCCCTGTGTAGGGCTGTAAACTAGGGTTTGGGGATCTTGCTCCTCAGCTTGTCCGCTCCGAGGAGGTGCACGGGGCGGGGAAAAGGGGATGAATTTTCCTTTATACTGCCCTGCTCAGATACGTATATGTTCCTTCTATTTTTCTTAATGATGGCAATAATTGTAATAGTTATAATTATTATCACACAATAAAAATAGTGATTGTGTGTCTGTGGCAGAGGAGATGAATGAAACAAGGGTGGAGACAGAAAGATCAAGAATAAATGGTTTCACAAAACTTAGAGGCTGTCTCTCTTGAGATGCTGATTATGTATGTATTGCCAGTTGAATGGGCAGTATTTTCAAATATTGTCTGTAGGCAACAGACGTTCTTTCCAACACTAGATAGTTATAAAATTCTGAGCTTGTCTTATGTTTCCTGGGAGTTTTCAGATTAGCAATGGTGAAACCATAAGTTGAATTTGAGGCGTTTTTGCTGTCCAAGTGTTATCACAATAATTAGGGCTTCTATGATTAGATAAAGAATAACTTCACCGTTTTTTTTTTTTTTTTTTTTTTTGAGATGGAGTCTTGCTCTGTCGCCCAGGCTGGGGTTCAGTGGTGCGATCTTGGGTCACTGCAACCACTGCCTCCCAGGTTCAAGCGATTCTCCTGCCTCAGCCTCCTGAGTACCTGAGATTACAGGCACATGCCACTACGCCCGGCTAATTTTTGTATTTTTAGTAGAGACGGGGTTTCACCATGTTGGCCAGGCTGGTCTTAAATGCCTGAACTTGTGATCTGCCTGCCTCGGCCTCCTAAAGTGCTGAGATTACAGGCGTCGCGCTCGGACGACTTCACCTTTTATAAAACAGTAACTGAGACCTTGAATGGCTGTGACATGACTCTAAGTCCGGGCAAGTCTGTGGTACAGCGCAACAAGAGAAAAGCCCACGAAAGGAACAGCTATGTGTTACAGAGCCTATGATTGCATGGTAATCCGAATTACCTTCTAGGCCCTGACTAATGTTTCATACGTTATGGTTTTGTTTTTTTTTACAGGGATAGAGGTTCTCAACCTATGGGGTTTGATCTTGCTGTGGTTGCCTTTTTCTACTTCCCCATGAGTTTTCTCAATAATCCACTTGAGTGTGTCTTTGCTCCATACATATATATTTTCCCGCAGAGCACCTTCAAGTCCAATCTTTGCTCCTTTATCACTGTCTGGCTCTCTGATCTATAGTCCTCCTTGATGATGTCATAGTCTCAGAACTTATTCCTCCAGATACATCCTCATATTTCCTTCCAGTGTTCCAAGTCATTGCTAAGAGCCATTACATTGCTATGCACTGTATTTTTCTTCTTTGTCTGAACCAGTCTCTCCACCCTGTCTCCATTCCTACACTTAAGTGCCTAAAGGGTCCAGGGAGGCAGATTACTGAATGCAGCTGACTGGGTATATGTTTTTGTATTTGTGTTGTATGTGTGGCAGGAATGGTGGGCATCTCTATAACGACTCCTCCTTTCTTTGCCTACTGACCTACTGGCACAAGAAACTCAAAGTGTCCTGGTGGTAGTCTATTTCCAGTTCAATGGAATATTTAATGTCTCCTAAAGGAAATGTTCTTCCTGGAAATAAGGATCGTAACCCAGCTGGCTCTAGTTTTTGGAGCTAAGAGGCACAAATTCTACAGGTGAGTGACTGGGTATGATAGTAATAGGCTACTCCTGTATGCATAAAGTCCTACTGGAGACACAATACTATATATCCGTTTTGGCCTAATACATATCAATGCATATACTCTATCCTGAAGTACTGCTCCAAACTTTGCAAGGCATTACATCTTAGTTGGCAATTTAGCCTAGTCTTCAACAGGCCATTCCAAAATCCTATCTGGCTAGCTGCTTCTGGATGATGAGTATGCACCATGAATTTTGTAGCTTCAAGTTCACTGTCACACCTCCTTGGCTATCAGTGGGTTCCTTAGTTTCAGGTATGTCAATGGATAAGGCACTCTGCAAGCTCTCAGATGGTGGTGCTGCTGGAGGCAAAGTAGTTGGGGAAGACAAGCTCATTTACAGCATATATCAATTCTGGTAAGAACAAATTGAAGCCCATTCCAAGGTAAAAGGGATCTGATGCTGAGGTAGGGGGATTGCTTGAAGTCAGGGGTTCAAGACCAGCCTGGCCAACAAACATGGTGAATCCCTGTCTCTACTAAAATACAAAAATGCTGGGTGTGGTGGCAGGTGCCTGTAATTCTAGCTACTAGGGAGGCTGAGGCAGGAGACTTGCTTGAACCCAGGAGGCAGAGGTTGCAGTGAGCCAAGATCATGGCACTGTACTCCGGCCTGGGATACAGAGCAAAACTCCATGTCAATTAAAATAAATAAATAAAAAGTGGAAGCCTTTCAGGTCACCTAATACATGTGTTGGAACAGTATTCCCAGGTGCAGAATATGTTACCTCCAAATCCAAAGAGGCCCACCAGGACCTGTTCCAATTTCTTTGGGATTAGTGGGTGCAAAGGGGAACAACTTTCTTTTACCTTTGGGTGATGTCCCCAAACCACTGGACCCCTTCATCCATTTGATTAATGCCCATATCTTCAGGTTTCTGTACTGCCTTAGTAAAAAGTCTTAGTAGGATATCTATGACCCTTGTCACTTGCTCCTCACTGGGTACTATTAGCATTTGTCATCAATCTGGTGGCCCATCATGATGGTTGGGTAAAGTTCCTGTGGACTACACTGTGACAGAGAGAGGCCTCAGGATCCCACCCTCTCCCTGTATGAGCCACGACTTTGACTCAGGGGACTTTTTGAGTCTGCACTATTGGTTTTCTTTGCATTACTGTCACTGTTATAAACAGATCCTTGGCCTAATTTTCAGCTTAGCTAGATGCAGAATCACCTTCGTAATTTATTAAAAATCAGTTATTATATGTATCTAGGTCTATTTCTGGACTTTTTTTTCCCTTAGAAATTCATCCTCATATTTCTGGAGTTTCTATTGTGCTCTATTGATCTATTTGTCTATCTTTATGCTGATATCATATCATCTTGATTACCATAGCTTTAGAAAAAAATTGGGGGTCTCCTCCTTCTGCCTTGGAGCCCCCCTCCCTCTGTCTGTACGGGTGATCCTCTTCCTTCTGAGTTCTCTTTTCTTGCTTGCCAATTAAACTCTCCACTCCTTAAAACCAGTAAAAAAAGAAAAAAATCTTAAAATTATACAAGTATTCCAATTTTATTTTTTCAAAATTGTTTTGGCAATTCTAAATCCCTAGCATTTCTATATAAACTTTAGAATCAGTTTGTTAATTTGTACTAAAAAAACAAAATAGGCCAGGCATGGTGGCTCACCCCTGTAATCCCAGCACTTTGAGAGGTGGAGGAGGGTGGATCACCTGAGGTTAAGAGTTGGAGACCAGCCTGGCCAACATGGTGAAACTCGGTCTTTACTAAAAATACAAAAATGGTGATGGGGAGGAAGGCAGCAAATCACACTGCCATGTGTGTACCTATGCAACAATCTTGCATGTTCTTCACATGTACCCCAAAACCTAAAATGCAATAAAATAAAAAAGAAATAGAAAAAAAAAAAACAAAAATTAGCCGGGCGTGGTGGTGCCCGCCTGTAATCCCAGCTACTCCAGAGGCTGAGGCAGGGTATTCACTTGAACCCAGGAAGTGGAGGTTGCAGTGAGCTGAGATTGCACATTGCACTCCAGCCTGGGCGACAGGGCAAGACTCCGTCTCAACCAAAAAAAAAAAAAACAAAAAAAACCAAACAACTTTTATGAGTTGTTTCCATCTGTGTCATCTGGTAAACTGTTGAAAGAAAATTTTGCTCAAAAGCAGAACAGCAGCTGCTGCTTCTTAGCACTCTTTATTAGGGTTCAAGGAGTATTGGTGGAAAGTGGCCTCTTTAAGTGGGTGCTTTTTGTGGTCCTCTCACTGGAGCCAATTGCCTGAGGCAGCTAAAACTTGGAAACAATGTGCCTCACTGTCATAGCACACTCACCTCTGCTGCTGAAATGGTTTCCCATCACTTTGCTAATAGGTACAACCTGTGAAGGGGTTTGAGGCGGGGAAACGGCAACTCGGGAAAGAACTCCAAATCTTTAGCTCTCCTAGTATATTAAAATAACCGTTAGGAAGAGGAGAAAGTACTTTGTCATCTATTGTTTCGGGGAACCTTCAATAGGAACAACAGACAGACATCACCACGGGTGTATTTCTATTCAACACAAGAAAAAGTTTCTAATTGGAGCTGTCCAGCACGAAAATGGACTAAGGAGTGCATTTTCTTTCTCTGATCCTGACTCCACTGTGACAGGTACTGTAGACTAGACAAATTGTGTCGTAGTATGAATTTAGGTTAGATCAATGATATTCAGGGGAAAAGGCAGGGAAGGAATATCAGAATCTCCAAGCTGATATAGTTTGAAAAAAATATATAAATGTCACACTTCAGGTTTTCTTGTGTTTAATTTGAAACGTCAAATAACATTAAAGGATAGCCTTTGATTTGCTTAAACAAAGTAGTAATAGTTGACGTTCCTTCCAAATCACTTTTTTGATCCTCTAAGAGGCTTGCCTATGCCTTGCAGATCTAGCTCCACCCATATGACATTACATTCTCTAAGGATCCAGGATCAGCAAGGGGTCACAATGTCCCAAGGGTTTCGGTCCCGGTGCTCTGCCTGTCCCGCCCGTGCACCATGCTTTTGCCTATCCCTGTTTCTGCAGTTTTTAGTCTTCTCACCAGGGACGCCACTATCAATCTCCTCAGTGTCTTTCGGTTCCATTCCAATCCGCTCATGCCCCCTCCCATCTCCGCTTGCCCCAAGACCTACTTAGCATTATTTCAATCCCACGACTTAGTGGGTCCCATCTCACCTAGGCGCCCGCAATCCTCGCCTTCTACGAGTCAGAGCTGTACTACACTCTGCGCAGGCACCCCCGTGCTACTCACGGAAGCGGGACCATTAGCTCGCCCTTTCCTCCTCGCCACCGACACGCACCCACTGGGTCGGGCCGCCTCCTTGCGGGGAGTCTTAAGGGTCGGCGGGGATCAGGGATGGGCCCCGGGGGCGCGTTCCCAACTTTGGTCGCAGTCATTGCTGTTATAACGACTAGAGACGCACGGAGGGCCGTAGGACCGGAAAAAGACGTGGAAAGCCGCGAAAACGAGCCTTCGACACCTGGATCCGCAGGTCCAGTTCCTCACCCGTGGCCCTCACCAACATCCGGGACTCTCATCCGGGGCCCTCACCAACATCCGGGACCCTCATCCGGGACCCTCACCAACATCCGGGACCCTCATCCGGGGCCCTCATGCGGGGGGCGGACCCTCATTCGGGGCCGGGCACTCGGTCGCCGGAAGTGCCACCGAGAAGCGCCGGCCTCCTGGCTGTCTAGAGCGACCCGGGAAAGGCTGTGGTGTCCCCGAGCGCGAGTGTGTCGGTGACAGGACCGCGGCCAGGCCCGCCCCTCCCCTCGGTGAGTACCCGGAAGCCGTTCTGGGGTCGCAGCGGGGCGGCCGCTTGTTTCGCCTTCCCGGGAGAAAGAGGCGGCGTCCGGCAGGGAGAGACAGTGGTTTCCTTCCCTGAGGGTGCGCGGAGGCCCGAATGCGAGGAGGGCCTGTTTCTTTTCAGCTCTGGTTCACCTCGCGGGCTGAGGGCCCCGCAGTCAGGAGGCGGCGACCGTGCCTTGGGGCGAGCTGGTCTGTATGGCCCCCCTGGCCTTTTTGGGACTGTGCTTTGGCCTAAAAGGGAAGTGGGAGGAGGGCAGCGCCGGCCGAGGCCTAATGAGGACCGAGCTGGGAGCTAGGCGAGGGTGGTGGGAGGGGGACGGCACCCTGATGCGTCCTTGGGCCTGAAGGACGCCGCTCAAACCTGTTCGAACCGCAGTTCTTCCCTGCGTTGCTCTCAGGATTGCAGGAAAAGGCCGTCCCAGCCAGTCCTAGTTAGCGAAGGGCCTGACCCAAAATTTAAAAATGAAAATTTTATCATTCCCCAAGCCCGTTTAATAAATCAGAGTGGGCTGACGGTTTTAACAAGACATCCCTAAGGGTCCTGCCGTTTTATTTACTTATTTAAATGAGTTTATTTATTTATTTAAACTGGTAATCGCGGGCCGGGCTCGGTAGTTCACGCCTGTAATCCTCGCACTTGGGGAGGCCAAGGCAGGAGGATCCCTGGAGGCCAGGAGTTCGAGTCCAGCCTGGGCAACATAGCGAGACTCCCATCTCTACCAAAAATTAAAATGAGTAATCATAACTTGCATTTTTCTCTGGGGACAAACTTGAGTCTCCTAAGAAGTTTGTAAATTTTAAATATTTTGTTTATTTGAGACAGGCTGTTATTGTCATACAGGCTGGAGTGCAGAGGTGCAGTCATAGCCCACTGCAGCCTCTACCTCCCAGGCTGAAGCGATTCTCCTGCCTTGGCCTCTGGAGTAGCTGGAACTACAGGCATGGACTACCACACTTGGCTAATTTTATTTATTTATTTATTTATTGATAGAAACAGAGTTTCACCATGTTGTCCAGGGTGGTCTGGAACTCCTGAGCCTAAGGGATCTGCCCATCTCAGCCTCCCAAAGTGTTGGGATTACATGCTTGAGCCACCGCACCCTACGAGTTTTATAAATAGTTTAAACTTCCCACAGAAAGCTTTACACTATTAAAGTGTACTGTGTTGATTTTTTTAATGCCACGAATTCCAAATTAGAGGAGTTCAAATAACCTGCACATTTGGATCATAAGATTTGGTTCTTAAGTATTTAAAGCTGAAGCATAACCACTTTTTTCTTTCTTTTTTTTTTTTTTTTTTTGAGATGGCTTCTCGCTTTGTTGTCCAGACTGGAGTGCAGTGGTGCGATCTTGGCTCACTGCAACATATACTTTCTGTGTTCAAGCAATTCTCCTGCCTCAGCCTCCCGAATAGCTGGTATTACAGACCTGTACCACCACACCCAGCTACTTTTTGTATTTTTAGTAGAGGTGGGATTTCATTATGTTGGCCAGGCTGGTCTTGAACTCCTGACCTTAAGTGATCCGCCCATCTCTGCCTCCCTAAGTGCTGGGATTACAGGTGTGAGCCACTGTGCCTGGCCCCATTTTTCTCTCTGTTACTTATTTAGGGTGGTTAATCATTATCAACTAATTTTTATTGAATATCTACAGTGTGCAAAATACTTTGCAAAGTCCTGAGGATATAAAATGATAAGTTGTTTTAACTTATTACAGTGATTTCTCTTAATCTCACCTTGCAGTGATGGTCATTGTCCTCCAGAGCAGTGATGGAGGAAATACCAGCCCAGGAAGCAGCAGGATCACCAAGGGTCCACTTTCAGTCTTTGGAGACCCAGTCTGAGGGTCTGTCCCCAGAGCCTCAGTTTGTGCAGGACACCGACATGGAACAGGGACTCACTGGGGGTAAGGCAGAGACAGCCCATCGATCTAGGCAATGAGTGTGTGTGGAGGGGCTTCTGAGGGGGCTCCTGGGCCTGGTGTGAGAGAGGCCAGGAACTGGAATGAGAACATGGCCCCTAGAGGGAGGGATGAAAGTGGGGGCAGCTGTGACTCAGTTCAGTCCTAGTCTGAGCCCCTCTATTAATGACAGCTCATCTTTCTTAAGTAAGCAGAGTGATGGCTACTTACTTGTGTGGTGGTTTTTCCTTCAGGCAACCTTCACTTCATCCCAGTTCTCACATCCAGAATAGTTTCTTTTGCCACATCTCACAGTCCTTTCCTGGCTCTCACTTCCTCTTAGATTCAGGACCTTTCCTTCCCCCGTTCCCTTCACTTAGTTTCTCTTTGCTTTGTCACCTGCCATTCTGTTGCAACTGCAGTGTTTCCTGACTAGTCTAAATTTGGTCAAAGGAAGCAACTGTTTAATTCCTTGGTTGAGCACAGTGCCTGTGTCGATGTATACATACTATATTTTGACTACACAGTCACACTTTTCTGTATCATATAGGTAGGTTGGTCTTTTTTTGTTTTGTAAGAGCTGTGTCCTAGATTGCCTGTGGCCAAATAACTTGTGTGTCACTTACACAGATCGAGTGCCACAGTATGTAGAGGGCTGTGAGGCATTGTGGAACTGTGGAAAAGATGGCGAGGAAACAGATGACCCTTTCTTGTTCTTGGGGGTCTTACACACTGGTTAAGACAGTGCCCATTCACAAGAGAAAGGCTTATCAAGTGTATAGGACAGTGCCTGGAAATGGTCAGAAGTCTGCTAAATAACCCTAGCCCAGGACAAGTCCCCACAAGTCTATGCTTTGCCCATCTGCAAAACAGGTATAGTCTTACTCTTCTGTAAGAGGACTGTCATGTGGTGAAGATAAAGTGAAATAGAAACTTTCATAAGAAAATCCTGTATCACAAGTCTAAACATGCGTAAGGCACGCAAGTACTAAGACAGAGCAGAGTAGACACACCCAATACCTGATAAATGTTCATTGGTTTTACTAGAGTATTGAGGAGGGTCCTGCTGACACCCCTTGGGCTGGAGAGGCCTCTTCTGAAAGGGAGCCCTGGGAAAGGGCTGCTCTCACTCTTCACTCCTTTCTCCTCCCTCAGCTCCACCTGTTCCCCAGGTGCCTGCTCTTCCCCATGAGGGAAGCCCAGGAGACCAGGCAGCTGCGCTCCTGACAGCCAGGTACCAGGTGAGCTGAGGAACCCTCTGCTTTTCCTTGAGGAAATCAGGGACTATTGCTACTGATGGAGTGTGGCCTCTCACTCATTCCATCTGTAGACCTTGCCTGGAATTTTTTTCAATAGCAGACTCCAGTTTGGGAACTGATCTTCTTTGGAGACCTGGACTTCACATAAACCACCTTCCATCTCCCCAGTGCCAGGAGCAAACTCTGTTTTCTCTTTGTCCATGGTTGTGTGGCGGGTGCTTATTAGATGTTTAAGGGTATGGGCTTTATTCCATAGGTTCTAATCTGTTCTCCCTCCTCCTCAACGTAAGTACACACTGGATACCCTCTCTATCATCTTCACACTCTGGCCATGGTGCTACAGTGGTCTCATTCCCTAGAGCAGCCAGGATGTGTTATTTCAGGAGTTTGTGACATTCGAGGATGTGGCTGTGCACCTTACTCGAGAGGAATGGGGATACCTGGACCCTGTTCAGAGGGACCTCTACAGAGAAGTGATGTTAGAGAATTATGGGAACGTGGTCTCACTGGGTAAGGACTTCCTTATTATTCAGTTTATCTATTTGGATTTCTTTACTTTCTTGTTTCTGCATAAGTATAAGGTCCCTGAGAAGGTCTGTAGAATGTGGTTTAGATTCTAGGTCTTAGAACCTCCGAATCCCTATCTTTCATGTCATCTTCTCTGGGAGGGGTAATTAAGGTTCGTTTGGGGGTGCCAAGAGGAGGCATTCTCCTCCTTATTCCTAGTTCATGTTTCTGGCTATTGTGGGGCATCTGTTCCCTTTTAGCAAAGGGAAACTTTCTTGTGCTTTGCTTGAGTTCTCATCCTTCTTATCTTTTCCATTTTTTGGAGGAGAGACCCTAGGGCGGCCTCCCAACCACCAGCTGGACACTTTCCTTTTTAGTATCACTGTGTCTCTGTATTGGAGAATTTCCCATTTTGCCAGGAAAAAGAAATGCTGTTTAAAAAGATAGGCTAAATTCCTTCTTGTTGAGTACTCCCTCACCCCTTAAGATCCCCAGATGTATCTCCAGGCAGGCAGAACTTGAGACGTCATTTGAAGGCATGACTCACTGTGAGTACATTTCAGTGAGTCACCCAGATGGTAATCCCATGTAACCGCACCCAGGGCAGCAGAAGTCTCAGACCTTTACGCCACACTGAGGTGGGTTCAGTGCTTTAACTCATGTCTCTCCCTTGTCATTTTGAAAGGTACAGTAGGAAGCTGAGATTAGGCAAGCTGTAGTGCTGCCGGGAAGCATCAGTGGGGTTTGTCGGCAGCTCCCTTGGTGTGAGCATTGTTCTTGCTCTTTAGTTTTTTTTTTTTTTTTTTTTTTTTTTTTTTTTTTTTTTTTTTTTTTAGTTCAGTTTAGTTAATAGTTTTATTTTTAGAAGGAGTTTCGGTTTTGTTGCTCAGGCTGAAGTGCAATGGCGTAATCTCAGCTCACTGCAACCTCTGCCTCCCGGATTCAAGTAATTCTCCTGCCTCAGTCTCCTGAGTAGCTGGGTTTACAGGTGCATGCCACCACCTGGCTGATTCTGTATTTTTAGTAAAGACAGGGTTTACCATATTGGTCAGGCTAGTCCGAAACTCCTGACCTCAAATGATCCACCCTCCTCGGCCTCCCAAAATGCTGGGATTACAGGCATGAGCTACCATAACCATCCTCCTTTTTCTTTAGTTTCTTGCATGCTTCTGCGCTCTTCTTTTTGTGTGTGTAAATACTGAGTCACACATTTTCCTTTGGCTTTGTCTATGCTGGTGGCATCCAGGGCATTGCTTTGTCTCCCTGATTATGCTCAGGATTCAAGGTCTTCTTATCTGTGGGGAGGTAGCCTGCCCACTGGGATGGTTTTTAGTGTGTTTTCCATTCCCGGCTCTTTGATCTTTGTAGGCATACTTCTCCGCCTTCCCACCACCCGGATTCATAGTGTGAATTCCTGTCCGGCCCTGAGTCATACCCAGGCAAGTGCTTTCTCTGGAGAAACACTTGCAGTCCTTACAGCAGGAATCTCCAAGAGATGGCCCAAGTATCGGCTTCCCATCGATATTGCTCATCCCTGCTCGGAAACTACTTTTCCACGATTGTGAGATACTAAACTTGACTGATGGAATAGAAGCTCCCCAGGATGCCACCACTACGTAAAATCACAGCTCCTCAAATTACCTCTGCTGAATTTCTAATATTAGGGTCCAAGGAAGCCCTTTGTTGCAACCAGATGCATTTTGAATCCAGTTCATTCAGAAACCATGGTTGGTGGTTGTTATCTGCTTGTGTTCTGAGAAACCAGAAAGTCCAACTTCAGCTCTTCAGTTACGGTTTTTTCATAGGATTTTAGAATGTGAAATTTATGCTGTGTGCCCCATCTTCTGTGTAGCAGATACAACCTGCCCTGTATGGCGCCTAACTCTCCAGTGAACCCTGGGCTTTCCTCATGCTTGACATTCTGGTTTCTCCTTCCTTGAAGTCTCTGTGGAACTCTTCAAGGTCATACCTTCCTCCCCTTTATTCTTCGTGGTTCTGTACAGATTGATGCACTTAAGTTGCCTTTCCTGATTAAGTGTTCCTTACCCTGTCCTTGGTGGAGGGGAGAAGGGAGGGCAAAGAAGTTAAAATTATTTCAGGGCATCCAAATGAATGTCTACTTCATAACTTTGTAAACTGTAAAATGACATATATATATATATAATTGTTAAGTACTGTTAATTTTATCTAATAATTACAGAGTTTCCAACAGTTAACCTGTCTACTTTTTGGAGTAAAGAAACTTTGTAGCAGTTTAATGCAGTCTAATAGCATTTTATGCTATAGACTGAACTTTATCCCATTTCCTGTCATGTCTGCACATACACTCAACACACATGCACACTTACACATACAAGAGACACACATGCATGCATGCATGAAACTCTCCTCTCCTACTCATCTTGCCTTTTTTTTTTTTTTTTTTTGAGACTGAGTCTTGCTCTGTCACCCA